TTTAGGTGCCAAAATATGGCACCTTGGCATACTGAATATTTTAAGCTGAAGTAGTTTGTGGAAAAGGCATCCTTCTCCCTGAAATGGTCATAAAACCCTCATGTGAGGGGTGCGTGCCCTCCACATCCTGGAGGAATCATGCTAGGGCTTCTTCTCCGGCTAGGTCTTATTTTTGGGGAAACACAGTAGTTGTCCCGCTCCTGGAGTAAACTAAAGCCATAAACTAAAGGATGAATCACTGACAGAGTACGTCAGTAATCAGACAGTTGTTTAGAAAAGATAGTGTGGAGTGTCATTCTTGTCTTTCCAAAACTTTGTCACAACATGGTATCTATCCACCTGAAAATTCAATAATAGCAGTATGCACTGAGTCCCAAACACAGAAAAACACCATCGCCCTAAGAACTGTGAGGAAACTGAAGACAGGCAAGACTCCATCTTTACTTTTAAGGTCTCATGTTCTAATGGGGACAACGAGATGGGCACAGATGTCATACCCGACAGAGGACAGTGGGGTGATTAAGGAGGTACAGTGTGTGGGCACTTTCCTGACAGGTAAGATTATGCATAACTTGAGGCTCTGGAGAAGCAAAGGAGGTGCTAATGCTTGAGCTGAGCCCGGAAAAGAACTCAGATATGGTCTCATCAGGTTGACATGAAAAAAGGAGGTCATGGACTGATTGTCCAGTGTTTTTCTCCTTCTAAAACCGGTGGGTGTAGGATGGGGTTGGCGAGCCTGGCCCAGTGCCTGCTCATGGCGGAGTGGCAGGGCTGCCCTGACAAGCGGCCCGCACCAAGGCCTGAGGTGGCTCCCGCAGGTGAATGAGGTGACGGGCTGGCCACTGCCAAGGCATGTTTCCCATGGATGGTCTGGAGTCCTGGTCTCTCTCACCCAAAGTCAACGCTAAAATGGGTGACCAATACTCAGGCCCTGAATCACCAGGTAACCTTGGGTGAGAGCTGCTGTCCTCCTGTCAGGGAGAGGGAAGGTGACTTCTGTTACATTAGGGCAGCCAGTGATTCACTGTCATCCCCCACAAATGGCTTAAAATCAACATTTTGCCTGACAAAAAAAAAGGGTTTTATTTATTTTTTAAATGGCTTCAGGGAAGAAGAAATACATTAAATCTAATATTGACATAGAGTTTTTTTCATGTCCATTAGGAAATAAATATTAGCCAGAAACAGTTTCTTTGGCATTACTTCTGGCAGCGCTTAGTGGTCTACTTAAAACTGAAAAACAATTCAAGTAATGTGAGAATTCAGAACTTGGAATCTGGACAGGAGGTTATATGTTTTTAGAAGTTAATGTCCTAACATTTCTCTTTGTATCATCAGCAACCTGGCACCGCAGAGAGAAGGGCGACCTGGAATCAGAGAATTGGATAAACTGCATTGCCACTGAATAGTGTGTGACCTTGAGAAAATCACTTAACTGTTTTGTGGCTCATTCTTTGCATTAACAATCTCAGGGCTGACGGACCTGAGCGTTCGCTCCGCGCCAGGTGTGCAGTAGGCGACTGGAGTCAGCTCGTCTCGTTTCCAATCTCTACCATTTCCTACTTGGGCAACTGGGCACATTACTTAATTGTTCCAAGCCTCAGTTTCTTGATATGCAGGACGGGTCAAATATTAATGATTAAATTATTAAAATATATTATTAAGATTATTAAATTCTAGTTGACATACATTATTATTCAACATCAGCTTCAGATATACAGTGCAGTGGTCAGGCCTCTACACCGACTATGAAGTGGTCTCCCTAACAAGACATGAGTCCATCTGGCCCCCTAAAAAATATTTACAACATTATTGATTATATTCCCCAGACTGTCTTGTCTAGGCCTCAGGGATATAGACAAGAGTACCCCTGAAACTCACAACAACAAAAAATTATTAAATTTTCTATGTAATGAACGCACATGGCCCAGCGTCAGGCACCACAGTAAGTCGCCTGTAGTTGTTAGGGTTAGGGGACGGGAGGAAAACGGGAGGTGTGGTGGGGGTTGGGGAGCAGCGAAGGGGCAAAAGCGGGGGAAAGAGGGGTGGAGGGGAGAAATGAGGAAGTCCTTCCTCTGCATCACCTAATCCTTACATTCAATCTGTGCAATGAGTCAGGAGTTTTTCCATTTTCAACATTCTCTGTTTCATATTTCAAAGGATCTCCCTATACCTGGCTGACTCACTACTATTTTTCAAATCCTAGTATCTTCAAATGCCACCTGCCTACTTACTTCTTAATGTAATTCAAGTAATTCTACTGTGGGGAAAAAAAAATCTCCTAACAACTTACATCGAGGTTTACAGCAGGAGATATAACAAAGCCACCATTCCTTTTTATTACCATGTGAAAATATTGTAATTCAGCTTTAATTGTTCTAATATACTAACTTCCGGGGAAACAGAGTCTTGGCAACATCAGGGTTTAAACAAAGAGCGTCATGCCAGCTTGGAACACATTGCTCTAATCCTCCCAAATACCCGATAACAGAAAGATGACCAGGAAAACAAGCATTAACCAGCTAACAAATGTGAGGCGCCTGGCACAGCAGCTGGGTGATGCAGTTTTATTTGGCTCTCTGGTTCTGCTTACTGAGGCTAAACCAGGAAAATACCAGCCAAGCAAAGAGTCCCTGAGGTCTCTGGGTATTAGAACAAGCCGGGGAAACGCTCTCTCTCATGTCTGAGGAGAAGCTAAATTCTGCCCTCTCAGCTTCTTCTTTTTCCCCCCGTGCTCCTCCCACTCACCAGAGCAGCCTCTGGGCCTGGAGAGGTTAATTTCTGCCGCAGAAGAGCCTGCTCTGTGGTCTGTGACTTTCACTAACTGACCTCAAGGCAACCATCCAAGGACAAGGGGCTGGTGGGGAACTGCCTGGAGTTCCGCCTGAAGGAGCCTGGCAGACCTGTGGCTGGTAAGGAAGACTAACGCTCTGGACCAGGTCAGCCCATGGTTCTGGAAGCAAGGCTGCCTGGGAGACTCAGAAGGGAGATAATGCACCGTCTCTCCCACAGTGGGAGAGAAGGACAGGCCCCACCAGGACTCTCCCCAAATGACGAAAGCACACAGCCTTTAGCGGGAGAAGAATCGCCATCACATCTGTTTCTCTAACACAAAACAGGCAAAACAGAATCAAATCTTTTCTTGATGGCTCTAGACCACTGAAGTGAATGCTGTTCCACGATGCCCTCCAGGGGCTACTGTACGCATGTGGCTGTATGAATACTGAATGTTTCCATCATGCCGACATTTCAGAATTATTGCATCTGATTTTAAAAAATGTATTATTTAGTCTTATACCAAAACAGTACATGTAAACATCAAATATTATGAAACTTCTATCAAAGAGCAATGGTTCAGGGCCGGCCGAGTGGCGCGATGGTTAAGAACTCGCTTGGGATGCCAAAGGGCCCCAGTTCGGATCCCACATATGAGGGCCAGTGACACTGCCCTCTACAGCTAAGATGCTGAACAACAGCTCAACCTGGAGCTGGGCTGCC